CTCTTCCTTGCTGCCCTCCTGAGGTACCAATCCTCATTCTGCCAGCAGGCAGATTGGGCTGACTCTGGTGGAGAGGTTAAATTTCCTGCCATCCAGGCTGCCCACTGAGAAAGTAGGAGGAAATGCATGGACATCTTGGCTTACGGCACAAATCCTCATGCTAGGTGTTCCACAAGCTGCAAGCTACTTTGGCCTTCAAGGAAGCATGGATTTCATCCTCAGCCCATGCCTGTGTCTGGTACAGTGTAAGGAATCAACAAAAATGGGCATTTGGGCCCTCACAGGTTCAGCTGAGTTTAGGTTTGGTGAGCTGGTGTTTCATGCAGTCTCAGACTCGCCAGGAAGATCTAGGAACTGGGAGGTGGAGAGCTGTTGTGAGTTTCGAGTCAGTTCAATATATAGACCTTGCTAAGTGAAAACCAAAATTTACAGCAAGCGTTTTCCTGAGAACTAAAGTATAAGCATCTTCCAGCCCTAGGTATGCACGCAGGGCCTCTTCCGTGACCAGCAGGATTGCAGACTACAAAATCTCCTTTCCTATTCTCATCACTTACATGCCAAAGCAGGGGAAAGGTCTCTGCTGCAGAAAAAGTATAAAAGGAAACTATTTACTGTAAATTGAGAAAGCATATGTATATTAAAACACTGTATCAAAGCTTGGGATAACAAAATTGTTAAAAACCTGAAAATTTAAGAGCCATGACAGCTGCTGTATTTGGGAAGTAGGCTGCAGATTTAGGGTGATAAGAAGATTAATAAAAATGTTCCTTACTTTGTAAGCTGAATTTTCTTTTAGTTGAAAGGTCATTTCCAACAGCCAATCTTCCTGAATGGAGCTGTCTACAATTTCACTTTATGCTGTGGATGAAAAGGGCCTGATTCAATATGAACCTGAACCACCCAGAGGCACTAGGGAAGAACATACATTTTTCACCACAGGGGGAGACCCCGGCCAGTGTTTTCTATTTAAAAACCTTTCTTTGGGTGCCAGGAGAAATGTACACCTATTTTTTTTCCCTAGTTCTGTGAGAGAAATATTGGTCTTAAAATACCTACCAAAATCTGTGGTTTACCCTTTTTATCTCTCCCAAGAGTCCCCATGTTCTACCTGGTCTCAAGCTCCTTCCTTAGGCTGGCCAGGGCTGCAGCCCCATGGAGGGGTAACAGCGGTCATGGGGCATGTGGGTGCTGCTCATGGACACAGGAGGAAGATCAAAAGAGGCTGGAAAAAAAGAGCTTCCTCAGGGTCTCATTGGCAAGTAACACCTATGAGAAATCTTTAACTTTAGCAGCTAACACTGGATATGGTATCATTTTGCATCCTCAGTGAAAAGCTCTAGAGACAAATGAGCTGGGTGTTTGGGTGGGCGAGATTCTTACCTTAAGCCAATATTGGAAAGGATGACAGTAGGAAGAAGCTTGGCTGCAAACCTTGAAGTCTACATCAGAGGTGGAGGGATTTGAAAATGATTTTGTAGTGCTTTTCAGGCCGCAGTCCTTATTACCGGATGGACTTGGCCTGCCATTGTGCTGTGATTTCTAGACTGTAGGAAAGGCCGATGTGACCGAATTCATGAAGCTGTTCGGCCAAGGGCCTGAGTCCCTCCTCTCAGTGCTGCGCTGTGATAAAAAGAAGTACAGAGACTGCGGAGATAGAAGCTCAGACCTGTTCCTGGAGAGCTATTCTGGCCCTGGGAATAACGAGCCAGTTTTTCCATCTCACCTGCCGTTCCCTTGCGAACCCAGGATGAAAATAGTTAGGAAATGCGGAGATCTTTATGCTATTACAGGATGCTGAAAATAGGATGAAACACCTTTTAAATGAACAAAGATGTAGTCAAAATGGATCGTTGTCTCTTGCAGTCCTTTTTTTTTGTTCCTCTTGGTGCTGACAGTTGTCTTTTCCAGTATTAGTGTGATTTCAATTATCTTTGCAGAAACCTGCGCCACCCAAACCTGAACCTAAACCAAGGAAAACATCCGCTAAGGTAAGAGCTGTCCCCCAACTCCACACTTTGACTTTTTAAACAATGAGTAAGTTAGAATTCATATCCAAAGATCATCAGAGGCAAGGCCACATGTAATGATTCAGGCTAAAATGTACTCCCCAGAAAAGCATTACCGCTGTTACAGGCTTTCCTAAAAGGCATAAATTACGGTTTTATTCTTTAACAGGAAGATATTTTCCATTTGGTCAGTGAGGTGCAGGAAGGCCGAGCATGTTATTGTGGGGAGCCTTGCGTCTGAAGGGTGCTTGGCTGCTGCTTTGTGAATATGTAATCCACTTGGTGCTCAGAGTGGGTGAGGCTGGGTCTTTGGCCGCACCTCTGCCACCCAGCCAGGGGTTGGAGGAGGGGTTCTGACCTCACATATCTGATATGGTAGGCCGTCTTGTAATATAGAGGTTACTATGCCTTATCCAATATGCTTGGGTCCAAGTGTTTCAGATTTCAGATTTTCCCAGATTTGGGACTATTTGCATATACCCTAATGAGATAGCTTGATGATGAAACCCAACCCTAAGCATGAAATTCACTTATGTTTCACATGCACATTATACACACAGCCTAAGGAAACGTCATACAGTATTTTTGTTTTCTAGAGTGTTGACCATGACCATCACATGAAGTTAGATGTGGCGATTTCTACTATGGCATCATGTCCGCATTCAGGAAGATTCAGATTTTGGAGCGTTTTGGATTTGGGGATTAGGGATGCTCACCCTGTAATAATTAATACCAGCAGATAATGAATTCTAGCACACATTTATATCATCTTTATAAAGCAGACACACTTCTGATTGTTTTCCTCATATAGTTCCCACGTCAGCCCAACTGAGGTAGACAGGAATGTTCTGTTTTGTGGATGAAGAAACTAAAGTACAGGAATTACTAAGAAACACCCAAAATGCCTTTTCTGCCTTCTGCTCCTCAGAGCTTTGTCCTTATGAATTGCTTGAAACGATGTGACTAGTGGTGTGAATAGGTGATTTTTGGAAGCAGAACTTGATTTTATGGCTTAGTCGTAAAATTAGAAACTTTTCTTCATCAGGGCCTTCGTTTCCAAGGGCTTTTTTGTCACGCAGGCTGCGCATCTCCACCTGAAGTGTTTCAGTGGAAAGCAGTGGCAAGGGGCGGGACTCTTCACCAGCTCTGCTCCTCTTTCACCCCCTCCTGCTGCCCTGTTCCCCTCCCCCACAGCCACTTCTCACTTCTGCAGAAGGGGAGGCCCACCAAATAAGCACAGGAGGGGGCTCACCAAGTGTTCTGCTGCAGGGAAGGTCCAGCGGATTTTCTTAGCAGCCTATTGCATTTTTTTTCCCTATTGCATTTTCATACCAGCTCAGTGCAACTGAATTGACATGCAGCAAAATTGTGTTCCCATGTCCCTTAAAAGGCCACCGCGATAGCCATGGTTGTGCTGCTCTTGTTCAGATGGAGGCTGATTAATTTCAGCTAACGTCACACTGTGTCTAACAGACTCTGTTGCCCTGTGCTTTAATCCTCTGTTAGAAAGAACCTGGAACAAAGATTAACAGAGGTGCTAAAGGGAAGAAGGAGGAAAAGCAGGAAGCTGGAAAGGAAGGTACTGCACCATCTGAAAATGGTGAAACTAAAGCTGAAGAGGTACTTTCCATAAATACCTCCCACAGATTGAATCAGTGTCTTTAAAGAAATTGCTCGGTCCTTCAGCCGGTGATAGCACGCTCATAATGTCTCTCTTTATTGCCTGTAATGTTATTGCAGATCCACATCTCTCGCTCAACTGTTAATGTCTCAACCTCCAGAGGTACCCCACCCAGCACACTGTCAGTAAAGGGGCAGATTGAAACAGTGAGAGTTAAGGGTACAGTAGAAAATTCCGCATGTGTGCAGTGACTAGAATCAGATAGTAGTGTGGTGTTTTTTTATTATGAGCAGTGCGAGCTTGCAGGTAAGGCTTCTGTGGTTGTTTGAAAAGCAGAAAGCAATAAATTCAGCAAACTGTTTGCATAATATATTCCTGCCTTGTCTGTTTTACACGCAGAGTTGAAAGAGGTTTTGCAGTAGAGCTGCAGGAAAAAAAAAAGGGTTTGAAAGTGTGTGTGTTGGTGGGTGGACTTTTCTTTAATTAATGTAGATTAAATAGTAACTATCTGTTTTTTTTCCTTTCTTTTTCACAGGCACAGAAAACTGAATCAGTAGATAACGAGGGAGAATGAATTGTCATGAAAAATTGGGGTTGATTTTATGTACCTCTTGGGACAACTTTTAAAAGCTATTTTTACCAAGTATTTTGTAAATGCTAATTTTTTAGGACTCTACTAGTTGGCATACAAAAATATATAAGTATGACATTTTATCCTCTCATAATCAGCACTTTTTTGGAAATTTCCATCATCCTCAAGTAAAATAAATATCAATTTATTATTGGAAGCTGTTTGTAAAATTGGTTCAGCATTTCATGCACTTTAAAAATTTAGTCCTGTGTATACTGTGGTGTTTTTACTGTCATATTTGAATTTTTCATGCAGTTTTTCTAGAGCAATAATCAGTGGTGCTTTTGTACCTAGGTTTTATGTGATTTTAATGAAACATGGATAGTTGTGGCCACCTGCTGACTATTTGTGGTTTAAAATAAAAGGTTTTCTTGTCTGCAAAATACCTGCCTCTTAATATCTTTACTAAATTTAAATGATGTTTCATTTGATTGTTATAGAAGATGTAAAGAATTTCTGCAGTCTGTACAACGGTGTTGTTAATGAGTTAAATTTTGGGGGCTTTCACCGTGTTACTAGTTTAATAAAATGTCTGTGACTGCCGGTGTAGAAGAATTACATTTAATTCACTTAATTCAGCAAGTGGCCAGCGCGTAAAACAACTTCATAGACACTAATTTTAACAGGCTCTTAGAAACAGGATAAAGTTCTGCTTAACCAAAGCTAGTGAAAAAAAAAAGAAAGAAGCCATAAACTAAGACTTATCTTTGAAAATCTCCCACTTTCAAAATAATAAGACAACATTTGTACTAAAATACTTCCCCCTTTGTTGAGGACTTCACAGCTTGGAAAGCTCTTTACTAACACGACCAGATTTTGGCCTCACATTAACCTGAGAGGGGAGTTGGCGTAGATATTATTAGAGATCCTTTCTAGGCTAGGAAGTAGGAGTGTGGAGTGTGTGACTTACTGGAAGGAGAAATCCAGGCTTGAAGCTTTTGAATTTTAAACAGTGTCCTTCTGTCTTTGAAAGGACATAGCAGTGCCAGGAATAGAGGAGTATTTCATAAATGTGATTTTTCTGTTGTTTGCATTCCCAAGAAGTTTAATGACTGGACGAGCACCCCAGGAAAGCTGGACTCTGGGGATTCTGCTTAGATGAAGGTTCGAACAGCCTTCACCTGCTCAGGGACGACAGCAAATAGGCTGCTGTTCCTCTGGGCCTTTGCTGCTTTGATGCCATGCTTATCGAATTCAAGGTCCCTGCTCCAGCTTTTACTTGAAGAACAAGAACCTGAACTATTTCATCACCACAAGTCTGCCATTACTCGACTGCAGATATCAACCGTGTTATACACAAAATTATCTCATAGTTTTCTCAGCTCCTTGTTATGAAATGTGCTTCAATTCATGAGTTTTGGATATGCTAAAAATCACCTTTACCTCAAAGAGAAGTACCTGGTATCCTATGAACACTTACTTTACTACTTTACTACAATATTTTCAACTTACAATCAATTGAAAAACATTGCTAGCTATTCTGCAATTCAGAAATGGACTATAAACTCATTACAAACGTGATCAGGTGGTTTTTTAAATCTGACATTACAGTCACGTACAAAGCAAAAGTGTCGGAAATCTTACTTTCCTCCCTCCCTGTATCTCAGGAGGAAGCATACTACACCTTTTTCCCTGTGACCTACATATGTACATGGGCGTGTACTCACACACAGGTAAATATATGCACATACAGTTCTTATAACAGGGAATCGTACCGTATATTCTGTTTTTAATTTACTTAATCAATAAACCATAGTTGAAGATATAGGTCACTTCTAATCTAATGCTGCCAGTGATTCTGCAGTAAGCATGCTTGCACAAAACTTTGACTACTTACATATTTCTGCTCGACTAAATAAACTCTTAGAAATGAAAGGTCTGGGGACCAACAGTTGGTGTAATGGCTGTGTTGCTGGACTCTCATGTAGTCAACCGTGGTTCGAGTCCTGGACCCGGTGGCTTAAACTCACGCCCAGTGCGTGTGCGTGTGTGCCTAGGATCCCAAGAGGAGAATGGAGGAGAAGGGATTGTGGCGTGGCCATCCCCCTGGCGGGTGATTTCTTGCTTTCTATCTCTCTGTCTCTCTCTTTCTGGTGAGCGCATGAGCCCTACAGCAAAAGAAAGAACAACCTCTCAAAAAAAAAAAAAAGAAAGAAAGAAAGAAAAGAAAAGTTTGAATCAAAGGGCATGTTCGTTTGACATTTTGGCTACTGCCAAAGAGTAGGAATTTCCACTTCCATCAACAGCATGTGAATGCTATCTCCTCCTATCTTTGCCAGATCTCTTATTTTGCTCTAATAATTGAAAGATATGTCTCACTGTTTTAATTTGGCATTTATTTTATTAATAGTGAAACTAGCTTTTCTTGTGTTTAATGGTCATTTGAATTTCTTCTGAGCTCCAGTTTTGTCTATTTTTTTTACTGGAGAGTCTCTGCATTTTAAAGCATTATTTATAATAATCATTGGTGCTATTTCTTTTGATTTCTTTTGTTTCTTTTTTTGAGAGTGTTTTTGCTTTATGGTGAGTGTGCTTACCAGAAAGAGACAGAGAGACAGAAAGTGAGAAATCACCCCCCCCCCCAGGGCAATGGCCACACTGCAATCCCTTCCCCTCCACTTTTCTGTCTGGATTTTGGGTATGCATGCACACATGTTCAATATGAGTTTCAAGCCACCGCGTCTGGAACTCAAACCACGATAGGCTATGTGGGAGTCCAGCGCCTCAACCACCACACCATCTGCTAGCCCCCATTTCTTTTATTTCAAACACACTAAGATTAGGGATTCTGAGGTCATTGATAGGTACAAAACATGTGGGTATTTTTATTGCCATATTGACAAAGCAAATAAATAACCTAGGAATCTTAAATTAGTTCCTCAGAGCTCAAAGATCTGATCAGTGTACTGTAAGGACTCAGTGTCTGCAACATCTGGAAAGTGTACCCTTCTATACCCCATGGCTACCCCTCTCATGAATTCATACCTGTGAGAAAAAAGTCCCCCCTCTCCAAGACACTTGTTTCCTAATCTGCTGGAAAATCAAAACAAGCCTGTGAGTCTATCTTTGAGTCAAATGGTACCTCCTGTAGAGGAATTAGACTACTCTTGTCACCAGAAGTGGCAGTCCACACACTCAAAATTCTCTCTTGGGCCAGCCAGTGCCATGGTAATAAAGGCAGCTGGATCTCACATGGCAAACTGTGGTTCCAGTCCCCAGCCCAGCAGCTTGAAACACACTGGGCACACGTGTGCAAGCTCTCAAAATCCTGAGGGTAGTGAGGAATGGAGAAGAGATGGTAGCATGATTGTCCTCTGAGGGCTGTGAGTGCTTTCTCACTTCCTCACTCTCTTTGTCTGGCAGATTAGAAAGAGAAAATAAAATTCTGGATGCTGCCCCAGGGATCCGATGTTTGTAAGAGTGGGCTTCAAGGGCACATGACCCTGGAATTCCCAAGTACATGTTCTGTGAAAAGAATCTGAACCAACAATCAAGATCCATTGGTCTGACAATAAGTAAACCATCCCATACAATCTTGAATATTTATTTAAATAGTTAAGTTCGAAGTAAAATATGAAATGAAGGTTTCTTTCTCCGAGGGGATTTCACTCCTGGCTAAAGGTATGGGTGCTAGCCTTAGGTTAGCAGGTGCAGCAGGCTTAGAGAAGGTGCCTCAGCTCAGCTGTTGGGCTAAGGTGTCTCTTCTTTGAATGCTTTTCTCTTAATGATGAAGGTTGATTTTTTTTAATGCTTTTTATTTCATTTATGAGAGAAAGGCAAGCACCTTCAACAGGGCCTCATGCCATGATCCTTCTCCAGCTTTCCCAGCCAGCCAGGATCACAAGTGTATGGGGGTGCCTGGCGTATACTGGTCAACCCAGAAACCAAACTCAGTCTTCTGCATGGTCTTCATTGCAGAGCTGTGTGCTCCAGCTGCACCACTGTGACTGAGCCATACATCACAGGCATTTATTATATTTCTAGTTGTTATTTTATTTAGAACATTGGTTTAAAATGTTTTAGCATAATTATGATGATCAAGATAATGGAGTTATTTAATGCCCTATAATGAGCACTGTACATAAATTAATTTGGGAGAAATTTATGAAGGCCTTAATTATTTTAATAGATGTATCCACCCCTAGTAAAATTAAGTCCAGTTTTCCAGTGCCAAATACAGGTCCAGCTCACTTAAAACTGCTGGGAACTTTGTAAATATGCATTTCTCCCTTATGAGAGAAGAAAAGGTCTTGGAAAAGCCCAGTTTAAAAATGGTATGTATGTGTAAACCTTAATGACCTTGAATTAGGCAATGACTTCTTAGGACATCAAAAGCACAAGGACCCAAATTAAAAAACAAAAAGACAAGTTGGATGATATCAAGATTAGAAAGTTATAGAAATGAAAGAAAATATTTTCAAACCATTTATCTGATAAAAGTTTAGAATCCAGAATATATGTAAAGAATTCTTATGATAAAAAGACAGCAAGTTTTAAAGATGGGAAATAATTTGAATTATGTTTCAAAAATATATCCAGAAGCAAGCAAATGAAGGAATGGTAAACATTTTTAATCATTAGGGAAACACAACTCAAAATTGTGATGTGAGATCACTTTATATCCACTAAGATGGGTACAAAACTAGTAAAAATGGAAAATAGTGGTGGAGAGGATGTAGAAATTTTTCAGCCTTCATTCATTGCCAGTGGGGTTGTAGAATGGTACCGCCTCTTCAGAAAACACTTTGGTGGTACACAGAGTTACCATAGACTCAGTTAACTCCATTATCTTACACACAAGAGAATGTAAAACATGTTTACACAAAAACTTGTAAATGAATGAATGAACATAGTAGCATTCTTCCCAATAGCCAAAAAGTGGAAACAACCCATACTTCCATGAACAAGTAAATAAAACATACATAGTACTTCTATACAATGTGATTTTTTCAGCCATGAAAAGTAATGAAATGTTGATACATGCTATCAAAGATGAACCTTGAAAACAATATGCT